TGATATCAGCTTTGAGCAGCCCTGGGCGAGTTGTTTATTGAAATGTGGAATTTTTTCTTGGTTCACTTCCCTATGTCCAGCTAAACAACAAGATCAGGGTGGCTATGGTCAGTTCATGAGCTTCGAACGGGCAGAAAGGTGAGAAATTGTCGCTTTTTGCCCATTTGTGCCCACGTGTCACTTTCAACGTACCTCTCTATAACATGACCCAGCTGTGATGTGAGTGGTCGCATTGATTTGATTTTTGGTTTGCTTGTAGGCCGCTGGCACCCGCATTCAGTGACGCTTATAATTTGGCACTGCTCTGAATAGATTAGTCGCAAAGTGAAGAATCTAGGGCAAAAAGGCCCAAAACTTCGAGATAGTTTGATATCAGCTTTGAGCAGCCCTGGGCGAGTTGTTTATTGAAATGTGGAATTTTTTCTTGGTTCACTTCCCTATGTCCAGCCAAACAACAAGATCAGGGTGGTGATTGTCAGTTCTTGAGCTTCGAACGGGCAGAAAGGTGAGAAATTGTCGCTTTTTCCCATTTGTGCCCACGTGTCACTTTCAACGTACCTCTCTATAACATGACCCAGCTGTGATGTGAGTGGTCGTATTGATTTGATTTTTGGTTTGCTTGTAGGCCGCTGGCACCCGCATGCAGTGGCGCTTATAATTTGGCACTGCTGTGAATAGATTAGTCGCAAAGTGAAGAATCACGGGCAAAAAGGCCCAAAACTTCGAGATAGTTTTATATCAGCTTTGAGCAGCCCTGGGCGAGTTGTTTATCGAAATGTCGAATTTTTTCTTGGTTCACTTCCCTAGGTCCAGCCAAACAACAAGATCAGGGTGGTGATTGTCAGTTCTTGAGCTTCGAACTGGCAGAAATGTGAGAAATTTTCGCTTTTTGCCCATTTGTGCCCACGTGTCACTTTCAACGCACCTCTCTATAACATGACCCAGTTGTGATGTGAGTGGTCGCATTGATTTGATTTTTGGTTTGCTTGTAGGCCGCTGGCAGTCGGATGCAGTGACGCTTAAAATTTGGCACTGCTGTGAATAGTTTAGTCGCAAAGTGAAGAATCACGGGCAAAAAGGCCCAAAACTTCGAGATAGTTTGATATCAGCTTTGAGCAGCCCTGGGCGAGTTGTTTATTGAAACGTGGAATTTTTCCTTGGTTCACTTCCCTATGTCCAGCCAAACAACAAGATCAGGGTGGTGATTGTCAGTTCTTGAGCTTCGAACGGGCAGAAAGGTGAGAAATTATCGCTTTTGCCCATTTGTGCCCACGTGTCACTTTGAACGTACTTCTCTATAACATGACCCAGTTGTGATGTGAGTGGTCGCAATAATATGATTTTTGGTTTGCTTGTAGGCCGTTGGCAGCCGCATTCAGTGACGCTTAAAATTTGGCACTGCTGAGAATAGATTAGTCGCAAAGTGAAGAATCACGGGCAAAAAGGCCCAAAACTTCGAGATAGTTTGATATCAGCTTTGAGCAGCCCTGGGCGAGTTGTTTATTGAAATGTGGAATTTTTTCTTGGTTCACTTCCCTATGTCCAGCTAAACAACAACATCAGGGTGGCTATGGTCAGTTCTTGAGCTTCGAACGAGCAGAAAGGTGAGAAATTGTCGCTTTTTGCCCATTTGTGCCCACGTGTCACTTTCAACGTACCTCTCTATAACATGACCCAGCTGTGATGTGAGTGGTCGCATTGATTTGATTTTTGGTTTGCTTGTAGGCCGCTGGCACCCGCATTCAGTGACGCTTAAAATTTGGCACTGCTGTGAATAGATTATTCGCAAAGTGAAGAATCACGGGCAAAAAGGCCCACAACTTCGACATAGTTTGATATCAGCTTTGAGCAACCCTGGGCGAGTTGTTTATTGAAATGTGGAAATTTTCTTGGTTTACTTCCCTATGTCCAGCTAAACAACAAGATCAGGGTGGAGATGGTCAGTTCTTGATCTTCGAACGGGCAGAAAGGTGAGAAATTGTCGCTTTTTGCCCATTTGTGCCCACGTGTCACTTTCAACTTACCTCTGTTATCCGGACCCCGAAGTTACGGGTACTTCGGTCTACCGGGCATTATTTGGGCGAGTTTCATGGGAAATATTACTACTCTTTAGTCACTTTTCGTAGAATTAATGACGTCATATGCCACATCGATGGCCTTTTCCCCATCAAGATGTATATGATTCGGAGTTACGGACATTTCAAAGTTACGGGCAGTGTAAAGTCCCGGACTGCCCGGATAAACGAGGTATGAGTGTAGTTGAAAAAAACCAAACTTCTCGATAGGTTCTTTTTCAGCTTTCAGCAGCCCTGGGCGAGTTCTTTAGAGAAATGTGGCTCTTTTTCAAGGTGCTATTTTCTATGTCCAGCTACACAACGAGATGAGGATGGTCATTGTCATTTTCTGAGCTGCCAACGGGCAGAGAGGTGAGAAAATGTCGGATTTTGACCATTTGTGCTGACCTTTCAATTTCAACGTACCTCTCTATAACATGACCCAGCTGTAATTTCAGTGGTCGCATTGATTTCATTTTTGGTTTGCTTGTAGGGCGCTGGCACCCGCATTCAGTGACCCAGGAAATTTGGCACTGCTGTGAATAGTTTAGTCGCAAAGTGAAGATTCACGGGTAAAAAGCCCCAAACTTCTAGATAGGTTCTTTTTCAGCTTTCAGCAGCCCTGGGTGAGTTCTTTAGAGAAATGTGGCTCTTTTTCATGGTGCTGTTTTCTATGTCCAGCTACACAACGAGATGAGGATGGTCATTGTCATTTGAGCCAGGGACTATAGAAACCGCCCTACGACGTTTGATATCAAAATCAAGTTATGACGTTTCAAAGTCACGCGACTCAAAGTTACGCGAAGCGCAGAACTCGTCACTTTTGTTTTGACAAGACTCAAGAGCTGTCCTCTTGTTAGGTGTTCGGGGAAGCATTCCGAGCTCGAGCGATTGTCAAGTAACTCATGAGGCTCCACTTACTGTGATTGATTATGGCAACAACATCTAGTAGACGACGCAGCTCGATTCTGTGTGTAGTCGACTAGTCCCTGATGCGAAGGCGCTTGAATCGGACGACGAGAATTTTTACGGATTCAGCGCTGGCACCCGCGAGTCGTCCGCGAGCGATTCCGACGCCGATGCTGACAGCGACGGCGATGATATGCCACCCAGAAGGAGAAGAAGACGTATGGAGTCACAGCAAGCTCGAGTGCTGCTAGTGTTGTGTCGAAAACGCCAAGCCCCGACAGCTCGGAAATTTCAAACGCGGAGAGTGACACCGACTACTCGGAATCGGATGACGAACCAGATACCCCCGCACCTGAGCCACCGACGACGGAGCAGGTGAAGAGTGGTCTCCTCGGACATACGCGATGGGATTGAGAGAGGCTGTGGATGCAAGTCGAAGAATCATTGGAAAGTCATCCCAGAGCAGCAGCTCGAGGACTACATATTTGAAGTCTCTAAACTGCGAGAATCGAAAAAGCGCTTCAACAGTTCAAGCAGTTTGTTCTGGGCGCACTGACTGGAAGCATGCGAAAGTCGATGACTGGCGGTGGTGATCGACCTTTCTATTTCCGCTATCATGTACGTGGTTACGAGTTGTGCAAAGACGTGTTCATGGCAGTTCCTGCTGTTGGAAGTCATGTAACGAAACGCCTTCAAAAAAAGCAAACAAAGGAGTCGTTCAACTGGCACAACATGGCTTGACTGGGAGAACACCAGAGCACTTGGCCATTTCAGCAGACATGGAGCAGGATGTAGTGCAGTTTATTTAGTCATAATTAACAACCACACAAGCCGACCTGTTTGGGAGCTATTACGCGTTGTATTATCAGGGCATAGGCAACAATTGCCGCATGCAGTATGCAATACTATGGACCAATGCCGTAGTATCGCAGGCAACAATTGCCGCATGCAGTATGCAATACTATGGACCAATGCCGTAGTATCGCAGGCAACAATTGCCGCATGCAGTATGCAATACTATGGACCAATGCCGTAGTATCGCAAGCACCAATGTGCGTTAGACTGGCCAATGCCAGGGCTAATGGGGGCAACAATTGCCCGGCGTGTCAATACACGAATACGGTAGGGATGCACTTGTGAGCACATGTAGGCGCACTTGGCTCAATGCCGGCCTGACCCACGATCCCTACCGTCCTCCCTTCCGGGATGGCTTAGAATAGAATGATGGTTAGAGATGATGGGGTGGGTGGTGGTGCTCAAAAACTGGCCAAGGTTGTCAAGCGATCTGACTGTTGGCGCAGCAAGGATGAAGAAGAAGCAGCATCGAGAGCCGGAGTAATGCGCATGCTCCGCGTGGTCCCGTTCCGGGGCGCGGGAGTTCGGAGTGCGTGTTCTGCACGGGCACGTGATGCGCTATGGCAAGTACGTGCAAATTATGTTAGGAATGTAATTGTTGGTGGGTTGCTAACTTCACTTACCGTGCCATGCACGGAAACTTATATTTAACAACCACACAAGCCGATCTGTTTGGGAGCTATTACGCGTTGTATTATCAGGGCATAGGCAACAATTGCCGCATGCAGTATGCAATACTATGGACCAATGCCGTAGTATCGCAGGCAACAATTGCCGCATGCAGTATGCAATACTATGGACCAATGCCGTAGTATCGCAGGCAACAATTGCCGCATGCAGTATGCAATACTATGGACCAATGCCGTAGTATCGCAAGCACCAATGTGCGTTAGACTGGCCAATGCCAGGGCTAATGGGGGCAACAATTGCCCGGCGTGTCAATACACGCATACGGTAGGGATGCACTTGTGAGCACATGTAGGCGCACTTGGCTCAATGCCGGCCTGACCCACGATCCCTACCGTTCTCCCAAAATACAACATGACCCAAACAGGAATTATCGGCATTACTATAGTTATAGTAGCGTTACTATAGTTATAGTATAATAGGTATATCATATGTACACTACAGCTGTTGCTAGGGCCGTCCAATGCGGCTACCCATTAGCATAACGGGCAGAGACTAGAACAATGCCGCTGGCAATGCTCTGTCTGCGACAGGGGTGCGGACATAGCGGAGGTAGGCAGAGCTTTGCCACCTGCCGGCGGTCTTCAGCACGTACTCAGGCACGCCAGCTTTGCCTGCCAGCGTTGCAGCGCCTCGTCTGAGGCTGTGGCTGCGCACGTCTTTGTTAGGCAAGGCTGTTTGTAGTAGCCTGTTGATGTTATGCGGCTTCAGGGGCGTGCCGTCATCATAGCGATAGAGCGGGCCAGGTGCCGAGCCACGGGCTGCTAGGTAGCTGGTGGCTGCCGTGTGCGGGCATGTCGGCGAGCCTGTCCTCCTGACGCTAATGTCCTGGCCGCTGCCGTATTGGCTCGTCTTTGTCACACGCAGGCGCAGCTCCACGCGGTCTGGGTACATGGTCGCATCGCTGTACTCAAGGCCGGCGCCCCGTGCCGTGAAGGTGTACTCGTTGACTCTGAGCAGCCCGTGGAAGGCCAGAGTCACGGCGCTCCAGAGCATGGCGCGGTTGTGCGGGCTAGGCACGGTGGACTGCAGGTAGTGCTGTACGCCAGCCAGATCGTCCAAAGTTGCGGCCCGCGTCGTCAACTGCTGAAGGGTGGACTGCGCTGGTTGTGTCGGCACTGCGTCGGCAGTTGGGCTGCGAGTCCAGAAGCGTCGACAACCTGACCCAAACAGGATTTATCTACATTACTATTACACTACAATTGATGTGAGTGCCGTCCAATGCGGCTGCCCATTAGCATAGTGGGCAATGCGCTCAACGTACCGGATATGGAACAATGCTGCTGGCACTGATCAGTCACTGGGTATGGCTTGCCCTAGTGCGGGGTGACAAGCGTTCGGAGCGCTGCAGCGAAGCGTATGTTGTGCTGGAGCTGCCCGCCAGGCCCTGGCGGATGAGGTCCATGGTTGCGTCATCAACTGCTGAAGGGTGAACTGCGCTGGTTGTGCCGGCACCGCTTCGGCAGTTGGGCTGCAAGTCCAGACGCGCTGACAACCGGACCCAGACAGGATTTATCTGCATTACTATTACACTGCAATTTATGTGAGTGCCGTCCAATGCGGCTGCCCATTAGCATAGTGGGCGATGTGCTCGAAGTACAGGATCTGGAACAATGCTGCCGGCACTGATCAGTCCCTGAGGTTGGCTTGCCCTGGCGCAGGGCGACAAGCGTTCGGAGTGCTGCGGCGAAGCGCATGCCATGCTGGAGCTGTCCGCCAGGCCTTGGCGGATGAGGTCCATGGTTGCGTCGTCAACTGCTGGAGGGTGGACTGCGCTGGTTGTGTCTGCACCACTTCGGCAGTTGGGATGCGAGTCCGGCAGCGCTGACAACCTGACCCAAACAGGATTTATCTGCATTACTATTACACTGCATTTGATGTGAGTGCTGTCCAATGCGGCTAGCCATTAGCACAGTGGGCAATGCACTCAAAGTACAGGATCTGGAACAATGCTGCCGGCACTGATCAGTCCCTGAGTGTGGCTTGCCCTGGCGCAGGGCGACAAGTGTTCGGAGCGCGGCAGCGAAGCGCATGTTATGCTGGAACTGGCCGCCAGGCCCTGGCGGATGAGGTCCATGGTTGCGTCGTCAACTGCTGGAGGGTGGACTGTGCAGGGTGTGTCAGCACTGCGTCGGTAGATGGGCTGAGAGTCCGGAAGCGCTGTACTCGAAGACGAGTAAGAGACTTAGCAGGATCATTGCAGAGTCGCCGTTGGGCTGAGAGTCCACATCAGCCGGTCTGTTGAACGGAAGGGGGAGGATCTAAGGCCAAATGGTGGTGCCTTATCTACATGGTACGAACCTTCCAAAAAATGCCAAGCCGGGGCCAGACATGAGGGGAAACAGACCAAAGCCGCCAGGCATACTTCGTGTCAGCTTTAGAGAGGAGAGCTCAGCATCAGGGACCTAAATTTCCGAGCCATCTTCAAGATTATGGGCTGGTGCGAAAACAGCTCCGGGGGCCCTGGAGGGGTGTGCTGCTGCGTCAGTCGCACAATACGTGCTCCAAGCATCGCGAACCTCCTCCCGACTAAAGTCTCCCAGGCCAGGGATGGGGCTGCAGTTGCCTCGGCTAGGTTCTGCTCCGCTGCCGGAGCGGCCAAGTCCTCGCGTACAGTAGTCTGGAGCCAACTTCAACTCGAGCAGGCGAGTCCGCGGAGTAGGTTTTGTTCCTGTCGGGTCTAAATAATTGCGGGATTCCAGTGCGTTTCGCAGCTCAGCAGAGCGCATTTTGACTGGACATCGCTCACTGACAGAGACATGGTTGATCGGATATTGATCAGAAACTGGCCGCGATTGTCAAACAATTTGACCGTCAAGGCAGCAAAGCAAAGAGCGTTATGGCTGGACATCGCTCACTGACAGAGACATGGTTGATCGGATATTGATCAGAAACTGGCCGCGATTGTCAAACAATTTGACCGTCACTGCATCAGCGCAGCAAAGCAAACAGAGCGTTTTGGCTGGACATCGCTCACTGACAGAGACCTGGTTGATCGGATATTGATCAGAAACTGGCCGCGATAGTCAAACAATTTGACCGTCAGCACAGCAAAGCGAAGAGCAAGCTCAAAAACTGGCCAAGGTTGTCAAGCGATCTGACTGTTGGCGCAGCAAGGATGAAGAAGAAGCAGCATCGAGAGCCGGAGTAATGCGCATGCTCCGCGTGGTCCCGTGCCGGGGCGCGGGAGTTCGGAGTGCGTGTTCTGCACGGGCACGTGATGCGCTATGGCAAGTACGTGCAAATTATGTTAGGAATGTAATTGTTGGTGGGTTGCTAACTTCACTTACCGTGCCATGCACGGAAACTTATATTTATGCTAAAATGTACGGTCTACGTCAACCTGCAGCGGAGCGAGGTCGTGCTGAGGACCCTCCAGTATACTTACCAGCATCCGAGAACAAGAAGTCTGCATACAACATCTACACCAAGACCGTCACACAGTATTCGCCTGTTCATTACAGGTCATTTTGCCACATTTGGAGGAGACAGGCAGCACATATCAAAGTGATGAAGCCAAGGACAGACGTATGCGCATTGTGTCACAATTTGTGTAACAATCTGCGGTACAAAATTCGTGTCGCCCGTACAGAGGAAGAGACGGAATGTAGTGTCCAGGCGCTGCGTTCGCACACATCGCTAGCACAAGAGGAGCGGCAGTACTACCGAGATTTAGTGGACGGCGCGCAGGCGTCACTGGATGAAGCTGAGGGCATAGTTCACTATACATTTGAACTGCCTAACTAGCAAGAATGAAGATATACAAAGAACATTACATACTGTGTACATAAATTTGCTCTATATCGCTCAATTGATATGCCATTATTAAATAGGTGGTTAGGCACATTTTACCATCGCAGATCGACTTGAAATTTTGTTTGAGCACATTACCATACCATACCAACTTTTTGAGAGAAAATTTTTTTTTTCTCCAAAAGTGCCATAGGGTGGTTTCTGTAGTCCCTGGCTCATTTTCTGAGCTGCGAACGGGCAGAAAGGTGAGAAAATGTCGGATTTTGACCATTTGTGCTGACCTTTCAATTTCAACGTACCTCTCTATAACATGACCCAGCTGTAATTTCAGTGGTCGCATTGATTTCATTTTTGGTTTGCTTGTAGGGCGCTGGCACCCGCATTCAGTGACCCTAAAAATTTGGCACTGCTGTGAATAGTTTAGTCGCAAAGTGAATATTCACGGGTAAAAAGCCCCAAACTTCTAGATAGGTTCTTTTTCAGCTTTCAGCAGCCCTGGGTGAGTTCTTTAGAGAAATGTGGGTCTTTTTCTTGGTGCTCTTGTCTATGTCCAGCTATACAACGAGATGAGGATGGTCATTGTCATTTTCTGAGCTGCGAACGGGCAGAAAGGTGAGAAAATGTCGGATTTTGACCATTTGTGCTGACCTTTCAATTTCAACGTACCTCTGTATAACATGACCCAGCTGTAATTTCAGTGGTCGCATTGGTTTGATTTTTGGTTTGCTTGTAGGGCGCTGGCACCCGCATTCAGTGACCCAGAAAATTTGGCACTGCTGTGAATAGTTTAGTCGCAAAGTGAAGATTCACGGGTAAAAAGCCCCAAACTTCTAGATAGGTTCTTTTTCAGCTTTCAGCAGCCCTGGGCGAGTTCTTTAGAGAAATGTGGCTCTTTTTCATGGTGCTATTTTCTATGTCCAGCTACACAACAAGATGAGGATGGTCATTGCCATTTTCAGAGCTGCGAACGGGCAGAAAGGTGAGAAAATGTCGGATTTTGACCATTTGTGCTGACCTTTCAATTTCAACGTACCTCTCTATAACATGACCCAGCTGTAATTTCAGTGGTCGGATTGGTTTCATTTTTGGTTTGCTTGTAGCGCGCTGGCACCCGCATTCAGTGACCCAGAAAATTTGGCACTGCTGTGAATATTTTATTCGCAAAGTGAAGATTCACGGGTAAAAAGCCCCAAACTTCTAGATAGGTTCTTTTTCAGCTTTCAGCAGCCCTGGGTGAGTTCTTTAGAGAAATGTGACTCTTTTTCATGGTGCTCTTGTCTATGTCCAGCTAACCAACGAGATGAGGATGGTCATTGTCATTTTCTAAGCTGCGAACGGGCAGAAAGGTGAGAAAATGTCTGACTTTGACCATTTGTGCTGACCTTCCAATTTTAACGTACCTCTCTATAACATGACCCAGCTGTAATGTCAGCGGTCGCATTGGTTTCATATTTGGTTTGCTTGTAGGGCGCTGGCACCCACAATCAGTGACCCTAAAAAATTGGCACTGCTGTGAATAGTTTAGTCGCAAAGTGAAGATTCACGGGTAAAAAGCCCCAAACTTCTAGATAGGTTCTTTTTCAGCTTTCAGCAGCCCTGGGCGAGTTCTTTAGAGAAATGTGGGTCTTTTTCATGGTGCTATTTTCTATGTCCAGCTACACAACAAGATGAGGATGGTCATTGTCATTTTCTGAGCTGCGAACGGGCAGAAAGGTGAGAAAATGTCGGATTTTGACCATTTGTGCTGACCTTTCAATTTCAACGTACCTCTCTGTAACATGACCCAGGTGTATTTTCAGTGGTCGCATTGGTTTCATTTTTGGTTTGCTTGTAGGGCGCTGGCACCCGCATTCAGTGACCCAGAAAATTTGGCACAGCTGTGAATAGTTTAGTCGCAAAGTGAAGATTCACGGGTAAAAAGCCCCAAACTTCTAGATAGGTTATTTTCCAGCTTTCAGCAGCCCTGGGCGAGTTCTTTAGAGAAATGTGGGTCTTTTTCTTGGTGCTCTTGTCTATGTCCCGCTATACAACGAGATGAGGATGGTCATTGTCATTTTCTGAGCTGCGAACGGGCAGAAAGGTGAGAAAATGTCGGATTTTGACCATTTGTGCTGACCTTTCAATTTCAACGTACCTCTCTAAAACATGACCCAGCTGTAATTTCAGTGGTCGCATTGGTTTGATTTTTGGTTTGCTTGTAGGGCGCTGGCACCCGCATTCCGTGACCCAGAAAATTTGGCACT